GATATCCAACCACAGGTGTCTCCTGTGAGACTCTTCACCAGAGAGAAGTAAATGAGCCAACCACACAAAGGCAGGTTGATGGTTCAGTCCCCTGTACTCCTGGCAGACAACTGCATTGATTAAGTATCAGAGGCAAAGCTCCTGCCACACCAGCATCCATCCCTCATGTTGATCTTCAGGCAAATACTGGAGCTCTCCTACACACTGCCCTACCCACTTGGGAGGGATGGTCAATACCATTTTAAAAGCCACCTCAGCACCCTGCAGAACTCTGTTCCATCCTTGCTTTGCAACAACAGCCATGAAACAGCAAAACTTCACCCATTATTTGTACCTTGCTGTCCCTGTATTCCATCCAGTCCTTGTCACCTTTTCACACAAGTCACAAAGCCAGGTTGGACACAGGGGCTTGGAGCAAGCTGCTCTAGTGGAAGGGGTCCCTCCCCGTGGCAGGGGTTGGGGCTGGAGGAGCTTTAAGGTCCCTTCCGTCACGAACTACTCTGTGATTCCATGATAAGTCTCTCTGGATGCGGGTGTTCTCACGTCACACATGCACTGTCTCACACAACTGGAACATCACCCATAAAGGGATTTACTAAATGTCAGAGCAGTAAACCAAAAATACAACTGCACTACACGACTACAATGTGCTCACAAACCCTGCAGCTTTGAAGGGGAAGGACATGGGAATTCTTGTTCCTTATCCACAACACTGGATTTCATACCAATGCTTTCAAACGTTCTGAAAGGAATAAGAGTGTTACAGAACTGTAGGAAATAAACCTCTTTTCATGACCATTTCCCTAATAGAAAGTGTTCAAAACCCATCAAACATTGGCAAGATAGGAAGCTTTATATAAATTCCTGTATAGGATTAGCACTAACAATCACTGCACGAGCAGAAATACCCTACAGGTGTACAATGATAGATGTCCATCATCAAACCCATTCTAAAGTCCCTGGAAGTGCTCAATTAGAAGTTGCTTCTTTACCTGTGCTGAGTAAGTGAAGGAACAAATATCATGAGGGCTTTGCCAGTGTCTCATGCAGGCAGGAATTTAATAGCCTTTATTTCTGTCTTATTTCTAACAAGAATTAGCACCAGGATGGATTTTCGCTAATGACAAAACTGATGTGAAAACACATCCCGCAGCAGGGCAGCATTTTGCAGGGACACAGCCAATTAGAGGCACATAAAAAACCATCACCTCCTTCCGCTTTACTGACTCTTGAGGTCCCGCAGCATAGCATAGATCCCCCTACACCACAGACCCTTGTCCCAAGCCCCTCTCCAGCTTTCCTGCAGCCCCTTTAGGCACTGGAGCTGCTCTCAGGTCTCCCCTTCAGGAGCCTTCTCTTCTCCAGGCTGCCCCAGCCCAGCTCTCTCAGCCTGGCTCCAGAGCAGAGCTGCTCCAGCCCTCGCAGCAGCTCCATGGCCTCCTCTGGCCTCGCTCCAACAGCTCCAGGTCCCTCTTGTGCTGCTGCCCCAGAGCTGGATCAGGGCTGCAGGGGGGGTCTCCCCTTCACACAGCAGAGGGGCAGGATCCCCTCCCTGAGCTGCTGCTCACACTCTGGGGGTGCAGCCCAGCACACGGTGGGGTTCTGGGCTCAAGTGCTCCCTGAAGCCAGGTCATGGGGAACTTCTCCTCACCCAACACCCCAAGTCCTTCTCCTCAGGGCTGCAACAGGATTTTCATCCTGTTTAAGGCCACCTTAGCACCAGTGTTGAATGGTTTTATGTTTATTATTATTTAGGAATACCTCGCTCAACAAGCCGTGTGTCATGGTGTGCGGTTATGGTGCCTCAGGTGTACACACGCTGCATGGAAAGAATTAGATGGGCGCTGACAGAGTTTACAGTGGATGAGCTAGTAAAAAGTACATTCAAAACTGCACAAAATAACCAGAAGGGATGAGACTCTAAAATTAAATGGGATGAAATGAGAACTTTTTTCTTCCTTTAGAAATACTGTGGGTTTGCAGACTGTGCACAGCATAAGAGTTGGTTTGGTTAACTCTGAACAGAGCCAGCAGAATTAAATAGTGTATTGAACATTAAATCCAGCCTTGTATGCACCATGTAGCTTTCAGCACAGTCCTGTGAAACACAAAACTCTCCACAACACAAATGGGTGGTTTAGTGGCTTGGTTTTAACCCCTTGGTTTGATATAACATCAGGAAATAGAGCCCCTGAGTCTCGGTTTCAGGTAACTGAGAGATACAGGAGAGGGAGGACACAGCAGCCCTGAGAGGGGAACCCCCTTCCAAAAGTCATCCAAAACCTCTTCTTCCTAATCTCTATGCCTATTTCTCTACTAACAGTACAAATTAATCCTTAAATACAACTTTATTGCTCAGCCTCAAAGCCATGTCATTAAACACATGAAGCTTAGCTATAAAATAATTCATATTAAAGGGAGTATTTGATGAAGATGTGTTAGTATTAGTTCATATACCTACTACATCAATTGCATTACATCTCTCCAAGTATCATGCAAATAATAAGGTGTGAAATAAAGGTTTTAAAACTATGTTTTAAGGAGAGGAGAAACAGTCCTCTCCCATCCATAAATACTAAACAGCTTATTTCAGTCCCAGCCCTGTAGCTGCCTTTTCCAGCAGTTCTTTCAGTTATCTGATTTCATGCACCAAGGCAAAGGAGATTTCCTGTAGGAATTGGAGGGTATTTTTATCCTCCAAATGGAGCACTTTGTGTCATGCAGCTCACACATGGACCTCACAGAGGGTAGAGCTCAGGCTGCTGCTGCTCCAGAGGATCAACCCCTGGTCTTTGGGGCAATCCAGACCTCCGATTCCATACTGTAACAATGAGCTTTGATCAAAAAGTCACCCAGTCCTGAAATCACCTTTTCTTTAGGTGTAATAAAACCTCCATGTCCCTGCCATTCTGCTTCAAGCTACACTTTGGCACAGGGTTCTCAATGTGTTTTGTCACAGCTCTCCTGAGCTCAGCTCCCCACAATTACTACCAGCTTCCTTCAGTTTGCAACCGCAACTTCCATCTCTGCAACCAAGCCACAGCCCTGCTCCAAGGAATTCTTTACTATGAGGGTGCTGTGGCGCTGGAACAGTGCCCAGAGAAGCTGTGGCTGTCCCATCCCTGGCAGTGCTCAAGGCCAGGTTGGACACAGGGGCTTGGAGCAAGCTGCTCCAGTGGAAGGGGTCCCTGCCCATGGCAGGGGTTGGAGCTGGATGAGCTTTAAGGTCCCTTCCAACACAAACCATTCCATGATTCTGTGATTATCCTGCTCTCCTTTTACCACAACCAGGCACCTGCTTGGAAGGACAAGGTTCTCCGCACACCTCTGGAAATGAAGTCACTACATTCCTTCAAAGCCATCCCATTTCCAATCCCTCTGACTCAGTGTTAGAGCTGCTCTTCTCCAGTCAGTCCTTTTGAGGACTAAACACTGGTCAATCTTCTCTCAGAGGTTCCAAAACATATTCTCCTGCTTAAACCATCTGACAGCTGTATTGGACTATCCTATCATCTGAAGCAGGGACTTCAGTCACTTGGCAGAGTTCACCTCCTGTACAGCTCCATGTAGCTGTCTGCTGCTGAGGAGTAACACTTAAATACACCCCTCTCCCCCAACCCTGCTTTCAGCAACTCTTCAGGTACCACCCAGCAAAACCACGACACATTGGATCCCCCCTTCAAATACAGATGGCAAAAGGAGTTGAAGAAAAGAGCTGCTGAAGAGCAACCCCAGCACTCTTCATACAGTGACACCTTTGCCTGCTCCATCGCCAAGGAGAAGGGGTTGGAGAAGCCAGGTACTGGTGCCATTCTGGGGGAGCAGGGTCACACTGGTCTTTCCCATCATGGCAGCATCCAGGGTCACCCACCATGCTGCTACCCTAACCCCCCCCAAGCAATCAGCACCACAGCCCCTGATCCTTCCCAGCAATGTGTAACCCTCACCCTAAAGCACCCCACAGCTCTGCTAAAGGACAGAGCCCCTCAGCCTGCCCACACATGGGGAACCCTCTCCCCTCAGCTGCCACCTTTCAAAGGGGATCCCCTGCTCCTAAAACACCCCCAGTAATGAGCACCATCCTCTTCAGACCTTTTCCCAAAATAACCTCCCCTCTCTCCAGACCCCCCAATAACAAGCACACACCCCTCCAGACCACCAGGAATGAGCACCATTCCCTCCTGATCCCCATAAAACAGGCACTCTCTCCCTCCAGACACCCCAATAACGAGCAGCCCCCTCTCCAGACCCCCAGTAATGAGCACCCCTCTCTCCAAACCCATCATAACGAGCACCCCCCTCTCCAGACCCCAGTAATGAGCATCCTTCTCCCCAGACCCACAACCACGAGCATCCCTCTCTCCAGACCCCCAGTAATGAGCACCCCCCTCTCCAAACCCACCACAACGAGCATCCCTCTCTCCAGACCCCAGTAATGAGCATCCTTCTCCCCAGACCCACCACGAGCATCCCTCTCTCCAGACCCCCAGTAATGAGCACCCCTCTCTCCAGACCCCCAGTAATGAGTACCCCTCTCTCCAAATCCACCATAACGAGCACCCCCCTCTCCAGACCCACCACAACGAGCAGCCCCCTCTCCAGACCCCAGTAATGAGCATCCTTCTCCCCAGACCCACCACGAGCATCCCTCTCTCCAGACCCCCAGTAATGAGCACCCCTCTCTCCAAATCCACCATAACGAGCACCCCCCTCTCCAGACCCACCACAACGAGCATCCTTCTCCCCAGACCCACAACGAGCATCCCTCTCTCCAGAGCCCTAATAACAAGCACCATCCCCACCAGAACCCCCCGATAACGAGCACCCCTCCCTCCAAACACCCCAATAACGAGCACCCCTCACTCCAGTCCCCCAAAACGACCTCCGCTCTCTCCAGACCCCCGGGTAACGAGCCCCCAGCCCCAACTGCCAGCGAGCCCATAGTATCGAGCATCCCCCCCCGCCATCACCTCAGCCGCCGCCTCCCTTCCCCCACCTACCCCATGCGCATCTTGGAGCCGGACTGACCCCCGCCACCGGGCAGCGGGGGCCGCGGCGGGAGGCGGCCGAGGTGCAGCTGCTTCTCCAGAGCCGACATGAGGGAGCAGGAGGCGGTACCAGACACAAGGACACACCGCGGACCCCCCGCCCCGGGGCTCGGCCGCCGCCAGCCCCCGCTCCGCGCCACCGGAAGCGGGCTCCCCACTCACAGCGCCGCCGCGCGGCACCACGGGACGCGCAGTCCGCCCCCGCGGGTACCCGTAGCGCGCTCCCGAGGCATTGTGGGAAATGTAGTCCGCATCTTCGTAAAGGGCTACGGGGGCGCGGTGCATGACGGGAGTTGTAGTCCAGGAAGTGCGGCTCAAAGGAGGCGCGTCCCGCTCCCGCTCCCGCCCAAGCGGCGGTTGCCGGGCGGCCTGAGGCGAGGCGGGATGCGGCAGAAGAGGCCGAGGGCGATGGGCCCGGCGGCGGGGGGCGGCCGGCGGAGGGGAGGTGGGACGGGCCCCGGAGGGTTGGAAGGGCGGTGGCGTGGGCCGGGGACCGATGGGGGCCAGCGCGGAGTCCTGGTCAGGAAGCGGGGGGCTCGAAGCGCGGCTGTCAGAGGTGTTGGTACGAGCGGTTGTAACCTGGTTTGTAATGGGTCATAGAACCAGCTGGGTTGGAAAAGAGCTTCAAGCTCGTCCAGTCCAATCATTCCCAGCACTGCCAAGGCCACCACTGCCCCATGGCACTGAGGCCTCGTCTTCACGGGGTGTGAGCACTTGCAGGGCCGGTGCCTGCAGCCCTGCCCTGGGCAGCCTGTTCCAATGCCTGAGCACCCTCTGGGGCAGGAATTGGTCCTCAGCTCCATCTAAACCTGCCCTGGTGCAGCTTGAGGCCGGTTCCTCTTGTCCCATCCCTTGTTCCTTGGGAGCAGAGCCCAGCCCCTCCTGGCTCCATCCTCCTCTCAGGCACTTGGAGGCAGCCATCAGGTCCCCCCTGAGCCTTCTCTTCTCCATCTGAACCCCCCAGGTCCCTCAGCCCTTCCCCATCACACTTGGGCTCCAGGCCCTGCACCAGCTCCATTCCCTTCTCTGGCCCCGCTCCAGCCCCTCAATGTCTCTCTTGCAGTTAGGGGAGATAGTGGGTTAAAGGCACAACCTAACAGGATTCGATAGCAAGGTTCACTGTCTTACTTACTACATGGGTGAAGCACAGAAAGGGAAATCAAGGTAAAATCAAGCTAAAGCTTATTGATACTGGCCTGTTGAGTCACAAGGTTTGCTTTCTAAAGTCCTGATGGATCCTTGTTTCAGCCAGGTTTAGTCTGAGTCTCAGGCTTGGACAGCGGTTTATGTCTAATGAAAGAAATACAGGGACTAAGGAAATCCTCCTGTTGAGTCCTGAGGTTCAGAGTAGACCCCTTGCTTTTAAACCCCTGATGGAGCCTGGGTGCAGCTGGGTCTAGTCTTAGTCTCAGACTTGGTCAGCGCTTTTCATCTGAAGGGTTACAAGTGTCATTTAGCAGCAGTTTGCAGTTTTAAGGTAGACCTTGTAAACTGAGTCAATAGAATTTACTATACAATTGTTACAATGATCTATACACACATGCACATGCATGCATGAAGTCATGTCTATCATGGAGACTGGTTTGGGTTGAAGGGACCTTAAACCTCATCCAATTCCAACCTCTTGCCATGGTCACGGACACCTTCCACTAGAGCAGCTTGCTCCAAGCCTCATCCAACCTGGCCTTCAAGTCCCAAGACAATGGAGCAGCCCAGAGGATAGGGGTGGATTCACCACCACAGCCACTGACCGCTTGGTCCCTTGTCCCCACAGGTCTCAATGACATCCCTGCTTCCACCAGCCTGCCACCGCTCGTGGAGGGACCCTTGCGCTGCTTCCTCCGCTGCACCGTGGCCCGAGCCCTCTGGACGACCCCAAAGCCACCCTCTGCTGCCACTCTCGTCCGCCTGAGGTGGTGGGGGGAGACCTCTGATGGCACCGTCTTCCAGCCCACATCCCGACCAGGGCAGCCAGGGGGGAGAACCACCGCTCGCTACCCAGTCCGTTGCGGGCCCAGGCAGTTCGCTGCCTACCTGACAGGTAGAGATGCTTCACCCTCATCAGGGCCAGAGCCACATGGAACCCTGAAAGAGCCAAGCAGTTATTTACCCACTAAGTAACCCCTGTCCTGGTCTCACTTATGGCTTTTTTTAGGTTGGTTTCCTGATTTGGAAGGCTTTTAATCTCATCTTGAAATTGCTGGCATCAATCTCTAGTGTAAGCTTTAGCACTTTAGGTCTGCAAATTATTGAAATCTCCTGTAGTCCCCTAGTGTAAAGATTTGGTGATTTTTATTGTTATCCATATCATATTAAATAGGCATTTCAGTTTTTGAATGTGTGAAGAAGGGTGCAAAGCATAAGAAGATATCCAGAAGAGCTTCTAAGGTTGTTAAGGTACTTAATTTAGTGAGAGGTCTGCAGGAAATTAATGCAGGCCTGATGTCTAGAGTCTGTCTGAGAGATTGAGATGAAATTTTAGGCAGAAATTCTTCCCTGTGAGGGTGCTGAGGCGCTGGCACAGGGTGCCCAGAGAAGCTGTGGCTGCCCCATCCCTGGCAGTGTCCAAGGCCAGGTTGGACACAGGGGCTTGGAACAGCCTGTTCTGGTGGAAGGTGTCTGTGCCTGTGACAGGGGTTGGAACTGAATCAGCTTTAAGGTCCCTTCCAAGCCAAACCATTCCATGATTCTATGATTCTTTATTAACCCCTCGTATCTCTGTCACCTTAACAAAATAGTTTTGTGTCTAATTGTGATCACATTGTGGGAGACTGAATTGAAGGTGTTCCTAATTTCACAGATATGGGTGTGCTTGTCCTGGAGGTAATGACCAAACTGGACCATCTTCCCATTGGCAGAGCACAAATCACCAGCCTGTCCCAGCTTTCTCCCAGCCATCCCATCAGTGGGGTTTTCCCCATCATTTCACCCACATCTGATAAACTTGGAGAGCTGCAGGTACTCCTTATGGCTTTGCTCTTTGTAATTTATAAGTTATATTGCTTTAATATACATCTGCATAATGAGGTGCCTGGACCAAGCTGTAGTAGGTGCACTGCAGAGCTGGTCCCTGTCCAAGGCATTCATGAGCTCAGGTAGCAAATGGAATATGAATACTGAACAGTGTTGACTTTGTTCTCTTTAGGATTGTGTAGTTCAACTTTACCAAGTTGAGTGAGTTTTAACAGCAGATTTCAAACCAGATACTCAGTTCTAACACTTCCCCAGAGCCTCACTGGGCTGAAGTTATAGAAGATATTGAAATCTGGGATTAAGAAAGTGGAGTTCTCATTTACAGCCCCAGATCTGGGCAATTTATGCTACAAGATAGTTGCCTGTGGTTTGAAAAGAGGGAGTATAAAAGAAGTAGTTATAAATATGTCAGTTTTGTGATGTTACATCACTGCATGATATAAATACTACTCTGCATAGAAGAGCAGCAGTTTTCCATGGCATGACAAGTAAAGTTGAATGCAATGTGTCTAGGGCTTAATGAAGAAAAGAACAAAATGCTATTTCATATTCTGTCCCTCAGGTCTCACTGGTTCTAGAACCTCTGCCAGGACGGTACGACACCAGCAGCTCTATCCCAACCACAGATGGGAGTTTGGATACTGCTTCTGGAAGCAGCAAACCCCAAATTCTTGCTCCATCACAGCAGTCCAGGCAAACACGAGTGACTGTTGCTGACCAGGAGGCTGCTAACAATGGCAGAGCCTCAACTCACAGGTACCTTTTTGTTGCCAAAATGCTGTTTCATTTTGCAGCTCACACATTTTTTAAGGCTATACACTTGTGAGTTCTGGAATACTTCATCTTTCTGAATGTGCATTTCAGATAGAATCCAGAACACCCAGTGTTTCAGAGCTTGCAGGGACAGTTTCTCATCTGATACAAATCTACATCCTGTGTTGACTTAGTTTGAGCAATGGTAGTTGACACAAGAGGTGCCACAAATCTTTTATTGACAGCTTCAGTCGGTTTGTCTGATGGTATAAGTGTAAATAATGGGTAGAAGTTTAGGCTGAGAACACTGGGGCTGTTGAGCCTGGAGAAGAGAAGCTGCATGGAGACCTCAGAAGCAGCTTCCAGTGTCTGAAGGGGGCCTATAAGGATGCTGGGGAGGGACTCTTCATTAGGGACTGCAGTGATAGGACAAGGGGTGATGGGTTCAAACTTAACAGGGGAAGTTTAGATTGGATATAAGAAAGAAGTTCTTTACTGTGAGGGTGCTGAGGCACTGGAATGGGTTGCTCAAGGAAGCTGTGAGTGCTCCATCCCTGGCAATGTTCAAGGCCAGGCTGGACAGAGCCTTGGGTGCCATGGTCTAGTGCAACGTGTCCCTGTCCCTGGCAGGGGGGTTGGAACTGGTTGATCTTAAGGTCCTTTCCAACCCTGGCTATTCTATGATTCTAAGATTCTAAGTTAACATAGTGCATCACATTTCTTTTTGGAGTGTATACTGAAGGGAGGCAGCTGCAGAACTAGGGAAAATTTGAAGAGGTTTGACTCAGAGGTTGTTCAGCCTGGAGAAGAGAAGGCTCTTCAAGGGGAGACCTTAGAGCAGCTCCCAGTGCCTAAAGAGGCCAGAGGAAAGCTGGAGAGGAGCTTTGGACAAGGGCCTGCAGGGCCAGGCCAAGGGGAATGGCTTGAACCTGCTCGAGGGGAGACTGAGCTGAGCTCTTAGGCAGAAGCTCTTCCCTGTGAGGGTGCTGAGGCGCTGGCACAGGGTGCCCAGAGAAGCTGTGGCTGCCCCATCCCTGGCAGTGCTCAAGGCCAGGTTGGACACAGGGGCTTGGAGCAAGCTGCTCTAGTGGAAGGGGTCCCTGCTTGTGCTTGAGGTTGGGACTGGATGAGCTTTAAGGTCCCTTCCAACACAAACCAGTTCATAATTCTCTGATGATTCTATGAATCCTTTTCACCGATCCACTTGACTGAAATAATGTTTCTCTTTTTTAACAGAGGAAAGGACCATTTTCTCTTTCAAGAGAACTCTGAAAACATAAAGGACACTTTTCCTGCTTCTCATCACCCTCTGATTTTACCAGATGAATGTTTGAAAGCGAGTGCTTCAAATGAAGAAGTGTCATTTCCCACTGGTGCTGATCCTGAAGGACCTGCCAGAACAAACACTCGGGTGCTCTCTTTGC